ATGGATCCGATACCGATGGTAGGGGTCATAAGCGTACGATGCAATGCGGTTTATACTGGAGATAAAGTAGAACGATTCGATGAGAGATGATTAATTGTGTATGATTGTTGTTGTTGTTATTATTATTGTTATTGTTGTTGTTTAATTCTCGATATAAAGAGAGAAAAGTGTAAAAGGAAAGAGAGAGAGAAGAAATAAAAAAAAAAGAAGAGAGTATGAAAAGAAATGATCAAAACAAAAAGAGAGAAAGAAAGAAAGAGAGAGAGAGAGAGAGAGAGAGAGAGAGAGAGAGAGAGATCGAATTCAGCTAAAATTAGATCGGAAAAATAATTGAAGCCTTCAATTATCAAAATAAATTGGCTCGAATTTCGATCGGTACCCCCTCCTCCTCCTCCATGATTCATCTTTTTTTTTTTCTTTTCTTTTTCTTCTTCTTTTTTACTTGTCCCTTTTTCTGTTATTTTTCTTTTTGTCTTACTTTTGCTTTTCTTTTTTTCTTTTTCCTTGTTTTTTTCTCCCTCCCCCCTCCCCTACTTTTGCTTTTAACCCCCACCCCCCATCATCCTCAATCTCGCACCCATCTACGACTTCGTATCTCTTTTCTTTTATTTGTTTGTTATTTCGCTAGCTATCCAACAGTCTCGCGTATCCTGTATTCGCGTATATATGCGCGCGAGTTCGATGACAACAAAATACAATACACACACACACACACACACACACACATATGTATGTATATGTATATACATACATACATACATATATACATACATACATACATATATATATATATAGGCATTCTTAATTAATATTTCTCTATTGGGTTCCCATATCTCTCCTCCCCTCAAACCTTCTCGTGACCTTTTTCATTTCCATCGACGATAGTTTCACTCTTCCACCTCTTTCGATTTCTTTCATTATACGTCACCGTTGATTGATTTCTTTTTTTTTCTTGTCTTTTTTTTTTTTTTTTTTTTTTTTCTTTTTCTTGTACACGTGTCTGTTCTTTATATCAGTCGTTCCTTTTATTTGGTTATTTATTTTTTTTTGTTCTTTTTCTTTTTTTTTTTTTTTTTTAATTCTCCCATTTCTCCTTCCTTCCTTCCTTCCTTCTTTCCATCTTTCTCTTTTCTTATTTCTGTTTTTTCCTATCTTTCATTTATTTTTTTAATTTTATTTTCGTTACCATAACTCCTATTTCGCCAGGAGGAAACAATAGTACATTAAAGGTATCCGTTTGGAAATATATTTTGGCACATAGTAAAGCCATTGGATTCAATGACGTCGAAAATGAAAACGTATTGATAAGAGGGTGGTAGGGAGGGAGAGAAGGTGGTGGGTGGATGGGTGGTTTGGGTGGTATCATGGCGCATTGCGGTGACAGCGGTATACTCGCGGTTCGTTTAACCGTTGTATCGGATCGGATCTGTTCAAAGGAGAGAGAGAGAGAGAGAGAGAGAAAGAGAGAGAAACAGAGAGAGAGAGAGAGAGAGAGAAAAAAAAGAAGAGAGTAAATAAAAGAATAAAATGTCAGCGATAACTGACATTTATCCTTAACAATGGTATTATCAAAAGAAAAAAAAAAAAAAAAAAAAACAAAAAGGATAAATAAAATAAAAAAAAAAATAAAAAAAAAAGCCGATAAAAATGACGCTTTGGAAAGTCAAACGACTATTAGGTAGAAAGGCAACAGTCAAAATCGACAAATTTCGAAAAGTCTCTCTTGGTTGGATCGTTTATCCAAACAGAAAAAAAGAAAAAAAAAAAAAAAACAGAAAAAAACATCTCTTTATACACAAGTTGTTTAAAAAAAAAAAAAAAAGAGGCTTAGAACTTTAACGATATTCGATTAGTCCTCTCGACTTCGCCTTGCGTTTAATTAATAATTATAAGTTTATTAATAACCATGAGACATACTTCGGATAATAATTAGTTCGTACTAATATATATCTGTTCACACTATTGTCCAAGTTCTGAAATTTACTTCAAACAACTTGCGTATAAAGTTTAGGGACAGGTGTTCACAATAATAATAATAATAATAAATATAATAGTAATAACAATAATAGTAATAATAATAATAGTAGTAATAATAATAATAATAATAATAATAATAATAATAATTCATGCTCCTTTCAATACGAAGTTAATTTTAGTCTACTGATTAGGGACACACATTATTCGATATTAAAGTACAAATGAAGATTATTAATCTTCGTACTATCCTAAATAAATGACTAATGAATTAGGGTAAATATTAAAAATGATTGCTTATATGTGAATATTTGGATATTATCACAATTATATACGTACATACACTGATGAAATTTAAAATATTAATGTTGGAAACTATGAAACGGGCGCTTTTGTTTAGTCTTTTAAATTCATTCAACGCCCGTTTCATAGTTTCCAACCTAATAGAAATATGGAAATAGAAAAAAAAAAGTACAAATAGAGAAATATAGAGATAGTAATAGAAATAGAGATAGAGACAGAGATAGAGATAGAATGAGTGAATAAGTAAGAAAATAAAGTTGATTTGATATTACGTACGTAGAAAGAGAAGAGAATATATATATATATACATGTATGAAAGAATTATGGAATTAATTGCCATGCGAGACGAAGCGATCAATGAAACTCTTGTTTTCTCTTTTTTTGTTTTTTTTTTTCTTTTTTTTTTTCCTCTATCATTCAAATTTTTATACATACAATTATCAGGATCAGCCGATCTAACTATTGAATATTTTGTTGCAAAAAAAAAAAAAAAAAAAATAAATAAATAAAAAGTATATAAGCTTGCCTGTGTGCCACGTATTATATATATATATACATAATACTTTTTTTATTCTTTTTTTATTTTTTATTTTTTTTTTTTATAAAATATCCTCAAATGTACGATAAGAGCGTATGCAGATAGGATGATTAAAAAAGAAAAAAAAAAAAAAACAAGAAGATATAATTACGAAACTTCCCGATGGAAATAAATAAATACATACATACATACATACATACATACATACATACATACATACATACACACATAGATATTGTACATATACGAGGACTTAATTATTACATGAGTGTGAACATAAAAGGAAGGATAATAGAATAGAGAAAATAGATAATAGAAAATAGAAAGTAGAGAAAAAAAAAAGGATAGATCTTTTTTTGCTTTAGCTACATAAAAGACAGAGAAAGTGGTGTATTAAATATGTTTATAAGCGGATAGTGAGAAAAAGAGAAGAAACAAAAACAAAAACAAAGGAAAAGAAAAGAAAAAAAAAAAAAAAAAACAAGAATAACCACGCGACGTGAGATATATTATGCGTGTCCGTATATTAAATTGATTTTGCACGCGTGTAAAGCTGAAGGAAATAAAATGGGACGATGAAAAAAGAAAAGTAGGGAAAAAAAAAAAAAAAAAAAAAAAAAGAAAAAAAAAATAGGCGAGGTCAAGCTCATTGCGGGAAAAGTGATGGCAAAAGAAAATTTTGCGAAACTGTACGCGACAATGACGAATCTTATTGCGTGATTTAAATTAATAATTTTATTTATAAAAAAAAAAAAAAAAAAAAAAAAAAAAAAAAATGTCTTACAACATTTATATCCTTCATCGATTTTTCCGTAGAAAATTTTTTGCGATCATTATTTTCTCTTTGCTTTCGTGCAACGAAACGAAAATTCTTAAAATTACAAAAAAGAAAAAACAAAGAGAGAGAGAGAGAGAGAGAGAGATATTTTTGTTTAAATTAATACAATAAGAAACACGAAATACATTATTGCATTATTACAATTTGCATAATTTTCGATCAAATATCGCATACAGTTTCTCATTGTCGTTCTAATTGACGTTGTCTCGCAAAAACTGATTAGAAGTTGTTACTCCGACTGTTTCTACAATTTTTCTTCTTCTTCTTCTTCTTCTTCTTCTTTTTTCTTTCTTTCTTCTATCCTTTCCTTTTTCTCTTTCTTTTCTTTTCTTTTCTTTTTTCCTTTCACCTTCGTCCCGCGTCCCTTCGTTTCCTTCGATTTCCGTCGATTTTGTTCTACTTATTCGTCGAAAAAAAAATTGATAAAAATAGAAAGGAAGAAGATATTTATTTTTGGAATTGAAATAAATTGACAAATTGAAGTAAATTTTACAAATGAAACAGAAGAAATAGTGAGAAGCAATTTCGATTTTATCGAGTGAGATATTATTATACGTATAAATCTTGAATGATTGCGCGAAACGAATTGCAATGAAAGTAACGCGATTTTCGTTTACGAACGAGCAACCACGACGATTACTTTTTCTAACGATTTCTAATACCACAGACGGAAAAGGAGGATGAAAACGGTGAAAGGACAAAAAAAAAAAAAAAAAAAAAAAGCGACGAAAAACAAACGAAACAAAATAAAAATAAAAGGAAAAAAGAAGACGAGATAAATGATCGAAGAA